ATCTATCTATCTATCTATCTATCTATCTATCTATCTATCTATCTATCTATCTATCTATCTATCATCTATCTATCTAATATATATTTGATCTCCATATTCTATTGCCTTAGAAACCCCATAACTCATAGACAAAATATATGGAGTTTAGTTGCTATTATTACACATAATCAAGGGACCTCAGAAACACAGGCAAAAATATACATTTCTGAATGTACGTCTGCTTATTTTACATTGGAAAACATACTAGAGATAGTCCTTGTTTTATGATCATTCATTTAACGACCATTCAAAGTTATGACAATGCTAAAAAGGTGACTTACAGTCAATGCAGCATCCTGGGAGGTCATGGGATTAAAAAAATGATAACAATTACAATATCATGTGATTGGCAACTCTTTCAGGGAGGTATCCAACAAGCAAAATCAGTAGGGGAAACCAGATTCACTTAACACCCATGTGATTTGCTTAAGGACCATAATAAAAGTTGTCAAATTGGACATAACTTACTTAACAACTGCATCATTTAATGACGGAAGTCCCGATTATGGTCATAAGTCAAGAACTACCTGTAGTGCTTTATCTTTCCAATGTGCTGCAAGTTTAATCAGCTAGTTCAACTCTCTTCTGGGCTGAAACCTATATCAACATTATAAAATCAGCTGTAAATAACAGTATCTTTTGGAATACAAATGGAAAAAATATGAGGAAAGCAGATCAAAGAATTACTGAATGTTCAAGAACTAACAATGGGACAATTTCCTATCCTCCCCTCCAATTTCCTCCAAGGATTTATTTTTATTACCTGAGCAATAGCATCCTTGAGTTGATTGTATTTTTCTAGATCAAAACGAGTCTTTCTGGCTCCTTTATGGAAGAATAGTAAGTACTGCCTGTCTCTAGCATCTGGATATACATATTCCTATTGAATGAAAGAATAAATTAATTGAAACCTTAGACACGAACACTTATTTATCAATAACCAATTTGAAAGGACAAGAAACTCAACTCTGGGCTAATAATTAATTTAACATGGAATAGGGACAAATTATATGCCACATGATGCTCGGCAGATCTGATTATCAATTGAAAAGTTAGATTAGGTTAGGTTTATTGGACTTATATGCTGTCCTTCTCCCAAAGGACTCAGGGCGGCGTACAACATAAAAACACATATTACAAAAGTTAAAAGAAAGATTAAAATAGAATATCCCCCCCCCCAAAAAATAGACATTTTCAATGAGATTTAGAAATTAAATTAAAATTAACAATTAAAATTAAAATTAATTTCCAGCAAGGCCGGCTTGCTGGAAAAGCCAACTTTTTAGGGCGCGCCGGAAGGACCGGACGTTGGGAATTATATGAAGCTCAGGGGGCAGCTCATTCCAAAGGGAAG